GCAGTTGTGAAGGAACAGGGAGCACCGGGGAACTTGCAAGGAAGTTGCCAGTGCACAGATGCTCTTGCCGTCACTCTCCCAGAGCGCGTGTTGAGTCCCTTTTTGAGGGAGGATGGTCACCTTGGGGTCCTTGGGCCCTATGAAGACTGCTTACGGCCAAAAAATGGCAGCGGCATTGAAGTGAGGTTGATGCCAGTTCCTGATTTCTCATCTGCTGCATTTTTTGTCATCCTTGCCACAAAAAAAATCTATACGTAGAAGGGAGTTTTTTTTGTTTGTTTGTTTCTTCATGTGGAAAGGTGATTTTATGAATTAGCCTTAAACAACAATTTTCTACAACTTTTGTGCTAAAACTATTTGTTTTTAGTTTTTTTCGTATTCTTCTTATCTCTTCTTCCCTTTCACTTTACTTCTCTATTTTGTATAAGTTGTTCCTGCTCTTCTTCTTAATCTTCTTCTCCTCTTTATTCTTTTGGCTTGTCATCCTCCTTATTGTCTCTTTTCCTATTCTTGTCTCCTTCTGGTTTTTTCTTGGCTATCTCTTAACCGCAGTTAAATGTAATGTCGCAAAAAATGTCCAGTCGGTAAAAATACTAGTTAAGAGCCACTTTGTAGTTATGAATATTCAAACCTTTTTCGTCTTTGTGGCTTGGTTCCCTTTAAAAAATAAATAAATAAATAAATGATTGCGAGCTTTAAAGGCACTTAAAGACGTGAAATTTTCAAAAAAGTCACACATACAGGCCAAAGGGCGAACATCAACAAATTGTTTCGCGAGCTCTCAACAAAGTCTAGAGTTGTACTATCCAGACCAGCCTGAGATGATTCTTGTTTCAACATACATTAATGTCAGACGTAGTGCCTAAGTGATGCTTTGAAGGAGAATTCAAAGATACGCAAGTTTGTTGCGCTGCATTTCCCCGAGAGATATCTTAAGACGTCACACAAAATATTCTTCATCGCCCACCATTTTCTGCGCAGTTCGAAACTTTGGATGAACTCACTTGTTCACTGACCACATGGTCAGAATTTAAAATTGGTGGCACGTTTAGGCGGACGGATGACCCCAGGCCCCAGACTAATCAGTAGTGCGATTCTGCCCTATTCTTGTGCCCAAGTAATAATTATACATTATTCTTCATCAATGCAACGATAAGAAACACTTTTGACACAATTTGATGAGATTGTTAATTTAGGTTCCTAATTGGGATCAAAAAGTTCTTGGTGTAGGAATGAATAGCTGGATCCTATTTTCAGTCGAAGTTGAATAAAAATCTAATTTTCAGTAATGCAGAACCAGAAAGAAGAAGTCTACTTGGTCTTGGCTCATAATTAACTTTTCCATTTTCTTTATCGTGGCCTCTGATTGTTTTTATTTCAATCAAAGAGAAGTGAAAGATAAATTTGACGGAAGAAGCTATAACTGTAATTGAGAGGCTTGGAGGATGAGTTGCACAAGTGCAGCTTTTGCTATTTCGAGGGATGCGTTTTAAGTGAAATAATTTATGTGTACCTCGAAAAATCCGTTTTTGAGATTTTAATGAAAAATCTCTCCATTTTTCTGAGAGATAAGTTGCAAGCAGTGGTTAGGTTCATAATTAGCGTACAATCACATTTAAGGACGGTAACTTCATTGTTCGAGCATATCAGGAAATTATTTCACATCCCTCTTTCCCGAAGCTATGTAACTGGAACATCAGGGTTCAAATGACTACAGTCTGGTCTGACATTTTTAAGCGCTTTTTGTTGCAATGCATGTGTAAAAAAACCCCAATGATCTTGTGGGAATAACTCAATTTTAAGCTTTCAGGAAATATGATCCATTTTCTTAAATGAAAGTGACTCTTGGAACAGACAAGGTTATGATGAAAGGAACTATGTATACAAATAAATCAAAAAGAGCCGCATTTCGTGGATTTTCGTGTTTCATAGCAGTTACTTTTGATTTAATTCATTGTGTATATTGTTCCTTTCAATATGAATTTCTACACAAGAGGGTTCGGCTTTCTTTTAAAAACGTATTTTGCAAGAACGCTGAACGCCACTCTCCCCCAGCATCCCTCAGATCCCCCCGCATCCCCCCAGGTCCCCCTCGCCATCCCACTCTCAGCAGGCATACAGCTTCACGTACCCCCATTAATTCCGTTGATTACCTAGCCCAGGCACTCCTCCTCTTTTTGACGCTGGAAGCTGTGGTGGCGGGCGTTTGAGGACAAACAATTGGACCGAATCACGGGAGAGGAATCCAATTTCATTTTTGAATGAGCCGCCGATATTCCGCGTTCCCTTCATATTCAGGGTTCGTCCACAAATTTAAACGGACCCTTCCTGCGCTCTGTACCCTCGTCCTCGCGTTGGGTTTTCTCGCGGAATATCCACATTTGTTGAACAAAATACGGCAACCCTGCTACTGTCTGATTGATCCATACCCCCCACCCCCCGCCAACGTGTCTCCATTTCACCCCGAATTCAGCGTATCATTTAATTGGCCGTCACGGCTTTTGGAATCGGCAGGGGATGGGGATGGTGGAAGGGGGATCGGACAGGTGTCAGGGACGACCGCTCTTTTGGACGACCGGAACCGCAATTTGAAGGATGATATCCGGTTTGCCTTCATTCCCATATTCCGATGTCCCTACCTACTCCAACCTCCCCCCTGCCAACCTCCGAGATATAGCTAGTGTGGATCCATGCAATTAATGTCGCGCGGATGCGCTTCACCCATGATGCGCGAAAAAATACTTTTTGCCCAAGTCATGCCGTCGATGTATTCGTCAATATAAACCGGAAAAGACGTAACGATCAATATTCAGTGGACCGTTGATTATTTGCGGAAATGGGCTAATCGCCGCGAGTAGTCATTTCCGGTTAATATTGATGAAATGAATAACACTGATTACCCTCAATATTTTTGACAGTATCCTAAGATCACGCAATCTGTATGAACTGGAAAAGACATATCGACGGTGAAACTACCAAACCACGTATCTCGGTTTGCGACGTCGCAGACTTCCTTTCATACTTTATTTTTTAAATAGAAAACTACTCAACGTCAATTCGTGAAAACTTCTGTGATTTTTCCTCTTTGTACGGAGAAAAATCTGTGAAAATTGTAAGGAATGATATTGATTTGATCTCCTTCAAAAAAATAAAATGTGAGTAGAGATTTTTAAACACCGCAAACGAGATACGTGGTCTAGTAGTTTTACCGTCGATATTCTGCCGTTCTAAGAAAAAACGCCGTGTGAACCTTCAGGCGTTGCCAAATTTGCTCAGGCAAATCACTAATTTCCAGGAGGTCTACCGGTCTAAGCGAGAATGTTATGCTATCAAATTCGTAATTTTCCCTCGTTTTTGAGGAAAGCTTAAGAGGGCAAAGATCCCAAAATAGGGTTTGAGGGTTCTCTCACTAAGTAGCTTGCAGCGGAGCTTCTGCGCGATTGGCCCCAACGAGCATTCTTGCGTGGTATCGGAAAAAGGTGTCTCCTTTTACTTTTAAGGGTCAGCTGATGCTGATCCAGGTTATTTTCATGCTTAATGATGATCCGCGCACCCATGCCCACGGTGACCCAGATTTTATTTGTCTTCCTCATCTGCTTTTTTTCCTTCCTTTTTTTTCAAATATCATGACCCACATCTCTGAATCTCTCTCTATTCGATTCACTCAATGGACTATCAGAATTAGAGTGTATTTGAGCATTATGATACATGTTTTCTCATTAGAAATTCACGTACAAGATTTGTACCAAAAGAAATTACTGAAAGCAACTCCTAACCAAGATATTAACGTTTTTCGATGCATAAATTCAAACTACCCACTCACAGGAAAATTATAATCTACTTGAGTTAAATCGCACACTAAATGCTGCCATTATAACAATGCCTTTGTATAAAAGTATGGCAACCTTGATCTCAGCGTTTTGGCTCAGTTGATGTACGTTGTTTACACGTAATTTAAACAAGACAGGGTGGAGAAGAACACTATTCGATTGAGAAGCCTGCGAAAACCGTTAGTGCGCGATTTGATTCACTAGTACTAATATTATAGTGTCGCAGGCAATTAGCAATCGCCGGCAAATTGCAATCTATTCGTGTTGAATCAACAAATTAAAACAATTTAAAGTGAAAATAGTAAAAACGAGATAAGGAGTAGTGATTATTATGCTTTGAATTTAAACATACGTTATTCCCTTCTTCTTGAATGCATGGTACCAGCTAGCACACTCGCGAGTTCGTGAAATGTAATCAATAATCTGCGTTGGGTTTGGTTTGGTTAAGCAACTAAACTAACTCCTTAACAAAGCGGATAGTATCACTGGATTTGAAGGCGTTCCAAGCTGAGGTCGTGCCTTGAATTTCTTCGCTAAAGAAACCTTTACAATATCGATGTCATTGTAGTTGCAATTTGACGAATTGACAAGTATTGACAGCTTATTGCGAATTCCCGGCGATTGCTGATTGCCTGCGGCATATAGACACCAGTTTTTTTTAAGAGCGGGAGGTTCTAATTTTTCGTAACCAATTCTAAATAAGACCTTATTATCATGGCGTGGGATTAAGTGTTCCATTATTTTCGTTGGGCAAATCGGGCTTTACATGGACTTTTGAAAAGGTTATATGTATATCAGAATGCTTAAAGCACCTTATCTGCGGACTGATTATTGAAATTGATAGACAAAGCTACAGACAAAGAAGACATAGGGAGTATGGAGCGATCCTATTGGTTGAAATGGGTGGTTTCTCCAGACAAAGGGAGAAAACGATAGACTAACTGTCGGGTCTCTCGTGGATTGCCGTTACTTAGTCGATTACCTACCTTCTTTGTTCATTGCAACCACCCGCTTCCACCAATAGAATCTCTCCATATCTCTTTTGTCTCCTTTTTCTATAGCTTTGTCTATCAATTTCAATAATCGGCCCGCTGGTGGTCCATTTTCACTTGCCTGGTGCCAGATTGGCTCTTAATAACATAAACAGACTTTTCTATGTTGCTCCGGCAGGGCACTCTCTCCAGTTGCTGCGTCCAAAGGCAGCGGCCCTACTCCCAGCTTTCTCTAAGGAAGGAGAAGCCTGGCCTGGCGCCGGAGATCGGCGAGGACGCAACCCGCAACACGCAGACCTCGGAGACCAGCTACGTGGTCGTAGACTCGCACGATGATTGGTCGTCGGTGAAACGGGCGCATCCCCCGCGGCCCCCGCACCTCCTCCTCATCCGGGACCCCCATACACCACCCCCACCGGCGGCGCCCCGGAGACCCCGCCACCGGCTCTACCCTTGCTGCCGGAGCTGCGGGCAGACGGACTACGTGGACCCCGGGCCCGGATCACGGATGGAGATGGTTTACCAGAAGCAGGACCCTGCCAAACGGACGGGGGACGGCGCCACCCGCGGGGTCTACACGAGCAATGATGTGAGTAATAGTAGTTTGAAGGACATCGAGCGAGGCGCCCTCGAGGACGAGCTGGAGGCCTACATGGCCGGCCTCGCGCTCAGCAGGTTGGACAAACCCAGCCTCAGAACCACTGTCTGAGCCATCAGATCTTAAATCAAATTCCATCCATGCATATAAGTTTTATCAAACTATTTGAGGGACTTCAGGGCGCATAAAAGCAGTTTTTGCTACTTCGGGAAATACGTTTTTGAAGTTTCGAAATTACTTGGATCCTTATGACGGAAAGAAAGTTCAATCTGACTTTTTGATGCTTAAAAATTGGAATTTGGAAGCGACTTTTTCGCAGAATATGCATTAAGACTATACTAATACTTGAAGTCATTAAAACCTCGATTATTTCAAAAACTCCTTTTATGCGCCTTGTCCTCCATTTTCCATTGATATTTTCTATTATCCATGATATTTTTTATTTTTCCATGATATTTTCCCGGCAACTCAAGAAATTTTTCGAGGCTGAGTATTCAACCTGGAAAAGATAATTCGGGGCCCGAGAGTTGGATTCAAAATAATTAAACTTATAATAATTTCAATTTTTTCCTTTTTCGGCGTTTCACTGTCACTTGAGTTGATCCTAAATTTTAAAATAAAAATAAAAATACTTCATGAAACAAAAAATCTTTCATTTCTAGTCGAAGACTTTGACGAAGCCAAAAATTTACTTGAAAAGGTCTCGTGTGGGTTAGAAAATTTTCAAGGGGTGGCCAAAGGTAAAGCAATGTGACAAGTTCTTGAGAAAACTGAAAAGTAAGAAGGTTTCACAGATAAATTTTAACATATTATCCTAAATTTTGATTTTTCCTCACACACTTTTGAAATCAATATTTACGATGAATTCAGGCAAAATATGTCATAGGGCAAAAATGAAAATTTTTCAGTACAGCGAAAATACCGGTATGGGATCAGAGACAACGATTTGTATGTATTTTTTTAAATTAAGTTTTTTTACTGTTGTTTTATATGTAATTTATGATTTTTTTAGCATTTGTTTTAATATTCATAATTTCACTTTTACAGAAACTCACTCCTTCATTCAAATTTGTTTCATAAAATTTTCTTTGATTTGAACTCTCGGTAATGCGAAACCTCAATTATTTGAACGAATTCCTCATTCTCTTAGATTTTGAATAATGAATTAAAATAAGACCAAATAAGCCCATTTTAATAAAGAAAAAATAAGTATAAAAATTCTCTCACTACAGGACTGTGGAGCATTCATACTGTCAGAAAGAGTAGCTTTCGCCCCTAAGTACTTGATTTTTGTAATTTTTAACAATCTCAAGGGACTTGCATTGTAAATTTTCGAGAATCGTTTCGACAGTAAAAGGAAACTTAGTACCTTGGTTTGCAACATTTCCGCTTTCGTGTCACAATTCCTCCTTAAAAGAATGAAAATGCGCAAATTTCCGTATGATTTCTCTTCGCTTTACCAAGAATATGCTTTGTAAATTATGCACAAACATTTGAAAAGGTATCCTTTAAGAGAGTAAAGAGAGTATCCTTTAAAGGTATCCAAGGGGTGGAGGAGGAGATCAGAAGGTGCCAATTTCCTGATGATCTCTGGGAGGATAGGGGATAATGTCGATTGGACGTCGCAGAGCGCGAGGCTGCGCCATAAAAGCGGCTTTATGTAAGTATCCTTTAAGAAGAAAAAAATAAATAATTATGATCGGAAATTTGGAAACGCTGCAACCGAGGCACGTCATTTCATAGTTTTGCCCTCGACTTTCATACTCTACACCCTTGAAAAGTCCAGGAAACTGAAAACTCCATTATTTCAGTGGTTATGCAATTTGAGCTACTCTAAGGTTAGAATACTTGTATCAGTCGATTTTATGATGCCCACAAATATTCTAACACTCAGAGGCATTGAAAAGTCAGGAAAAAGCGAAATATATTTTAAAAAAAAGAAAAAAAAACTTGTCACGCTGTAAAAACTTTCAAAATATCGTTGAAAACTTTTTTAGTGAAAAATATTTAGCCATAAGGGCTCCTAATCCCCTAGATTTTTCTCCTTTTGGCTACGCCCCTGGTTTGTACATACTGGAACAGTACAGTACAGTACATACTGGAAAAAAATGAATGGCTTGCTTCCAAAAACCGTCCAACTCTATTGGGATGTTTCAAATTTTCTTTTTAAAGTTTTATTTAAAGGAATATCGCCCAATAGTTTTTGAGAAACGCTCCTTAATTGAATATTCTATTCCTCAAAAACTTTTATGCAAAATCATCGGAGAATATCTTTGTTATTTTCTTTTTACTGTAGTGAAACTACACAAGAAAGTTTTGAAACGTTTGCGAAGTTTTCGAGGCAAGTCACTCAATTAAGTGGTGCACTAAAATATTCAAGTATCCAGTTTTCCGTCGTGATCATACATAAATAAACACAACTTCGATGCTAATCAAACGGAAACCGCACTAAACCTTATGAAACTAACTCATTGCTGCCGTCTAGTAAAGGGTTGGGATATCTGCTTCGCATAGTATATCTGGTTGTATTGATTAAGTTACAAAAGAGGCAACTTTGTATGTACCTGTAACTTAACGTAGTACTCTGAGAAACCAAAACGCTAACCCTCCCAAACTTCTCCCCTTAAAACGCTAACTTCGGGGTTTCGCTCTGTACATTCCACTGTTCCGTCATGACATGACCAGTCATATAGCAATATTAGCGCTCCACAGAGCTGGAAAATTCAATTCTCTTTACTGAGAAAGGTTTATCAAAGTTTTTGGAGTTTTTAAGTGCTGAGCTCGCAACCCGAAACAAATTACCTGTAATTCGACAGAGTAAACCCAGCAAACTGTTCGACTCATAATGATTTTACTTCTTTTTTAGAATTTCAATATTAATTCTTACTACTTCTCGGAGTTCCATGGTGCTTTGAGTAAGTTTTAAATACAAATTACGGGCGTCACGTTTCACTGTAAATTTCATTTCGTTAAATCTCTGCCGCAATATTAGCTCCGAGTCTTAAGGGATTTTACGAATTACGGGAATTCTGGGTTGAAGTTAACTTTCTGAGAGGAAAGAGTGCCCTTCATACGGATCGAGGTTACAGATACATACAGCGTTCCTCTATAATAAACTCACTGAGTTTGATATTTCTTGGAAAAATACTTACTTAACATGTTGTCAAAGCCCAGCGAACAAAAAATGAGATGATAAATATATTGCAGCAAATTGACAAAGTCAAAATCGCAAAATTTCTGCAGAAAAATGGTGTAATTAATAAAATTGGAAATAATGGAAGGAAGATAAACAAACTTAAAATATTGATACAAATGCAGTGTAGCAACGCCCTTAAAGTAAAAAAGAGACTCAGATGAAACTCGAAACTGTAAACTTGATACTTGATAATATAATTGCAATCTTGTAAATACTATGATGTACCTATTTTTGTGATCATGAATGCTAACGCGCTCAAACTAGACACCGAACATTAGATAATTCCCCGAGATTTATCTTATAATTTGTCAATCAGAAGTCATTGTCTAATTGTGTATACATGCTATCATCGGTTGTAATTTTTGCAAAGCAAATTTTGTATATACCATATATGCTGTTATTTTCACAAATGTTATGTTTGAATATAGTAAAGAAAACCTAAGAATTTTGCTATTGACTTTTCTTCCATCGCATAATATTATCATACACATATATGCATCGGTATGATTTTTTTCCGAATTCATGAATTTGCATAAATCTTTTAAAAAATGAAACAGATTTGGACCACTTCGGTGATGCTTTCAGATATAGCTTCAGAAATGCTGGAACGTGTTCCGTTTATTGCAATTCATGCAAATCAGTTATCTTATATATAAGAAAAATTTAAATTTTGACAAACTTTGTACATATTTTAGCCACTTTCACAGCGTTCTCTTGTGCTCTGCGACGCCTCACCCCCACAGTACCCTGTTCTCTCACAACCCTTCAGAGAGTTGGCACTCCCTCATTTCATTTAAAACCCTCTGTCGCCACCCTTTCACTTGTCGTTCCCTTCGTTAACATTTTACGTTGTGTTTTACATCATACTTTGCTTAGATGCCCATTCAAAATGCAGTTAAGTTGATTAGGACGAACGACGCGTCCAAACGAACTGTACAGTTGTCCTACGGATGAAAATAGAAACAAAAATTATAATAGAAACAAACAATTAATAAACGATGCAAAAATACAATTGGAGAGGTAAATGAAAATATATAAAGAACATGATTTCATCATTTTTCAACTCCACAAAATACTAATTCTCTCGAGAGGAGTACACTGTCAAAAAATTTGAAAATCATCAGAATATTGAAGAAAAACCCTCCTTCAAGCAATCCTAAAATTTGTGAAAGTGCCGCTTACATAAATTAAAAAATAACACGTTATAAATGACTAAACCAGAGCGAGTGAACCAGCGAGGCGAAATGACTTGAAAGTTGCCGATCCCATTATTTGAAGGCGGTCTCTACGTGCAACTTATAGCTCCTACACAAGAGTGCGGAATTATTAGTTACGTCCAACGTTCAAGACAACCAGACCCCAAGCGTATTATTAGAGAGTTGCGAAAAAACAGAAATTAAAATATGCCTGATGAACTAGCATACTTTAGGGCTATAAAAAGATGACGATAGTGTAATAAAACTTAATGCATTTTATCGATCAGAATAAAATCTTACTATCACCCTTAATAATATACCATGGCCTGATGTAGATCAGACGGATCAGAACTTTTACAGAGGGCCTTTCCTGTTAATGGACCATTTGACTTTAAGGACTAAGGGATACGAAAGAGAAAATTATTTTAAGTAAGGAGCAGAGATTGTAAAGAAACTAATTCTTGATAACAGTATAGAATGACACATTCTTATTTAAGTATTCATCTTTTCTCTGTGATTCAATTCGCAATCGAGATTTCCGAGATTTTCTTTCTCCTTCAACTAGTGCTGTTGCTGTTATCTGTGTCTATAAATTCTTAGTTCAGAGACATTGAAGGTTATTGCTAAAGACTTCACTACTACTGACGTCCCAAGGAAAAACGCCGTATGGGCCTTCAGGCGTTGCCAAAATTACTTGGATAACATATGAATTCACAGGGAAATTTGTGAAGATTTTTCCTCCAATTTTTAGAGAATTTCGTTCGTAGCCAGCTTTAAATTATCTGAAAATCTCAAGAGAAAATATTCACAACTCTTGTCAAATTCAAACATTTTATTGGAGGAAATTTGGCATTAACTCTCGAATGTTCATACGGCATTTTTCCTTAGCACGGCAGAATAGAGCTCCCCCTCAAGGTAGGTATGTAGGTATGGATAAATTGTGAAGACTTGTAATCGCGTTTCCGATTTGTATCATAAATTGAAATCAATATTGATGCAAAATTTAGTCCCGTGTGAATATCTTTTTTACTTACTCACACGCTTAATACATGCACCGATTTTCAGGAATTTTACATAAATTGGACTGCATTTTACAATTTGGACCTATAAATTCTGGCTTCTCTGAAAAAACACTTATGTGCATAGGGAAACTAATGGCACATACGTTGTGCCAGGCCGGAATTTATAGTTCTTAATTGCAAAATGTAGTCCAATTGAAATGCTTGTTAAAACAACTAGTTGTCCATGGCTCATGTGTACACAGTTGAAACATTGTTCAACCCTTTACCCACAAATAGGATTAAAAAATAAGAAGAAAAAAGTGTGTTAGCAGATTATGAAGATCCCCAGTATTAAAACAAGGAGAAGAAAATAACGGCGAAAAAAAGTTTTCTGCGGTTAGTACTATCCCAATAACGCCTTACATAAGGCAAACAACAATTTTCTGAGAAAATTTTAGAAATATGATGAGAGATTGGAGAAAATATCATCAGCTTTAATGTTGCTTTAACGTGAATAACAAATGAGCATTAACTTTGAGGATGTCGAGGTACTTTACTTTCATCACGGCCTGTCCGAAGCCAAAGCACACTTCGACGGGCGAATCAAAAAAGCCCGCAAATTCAAATCTTCGCGCCGCAAATTTGAAACTTCGCTCCATGACGGAAACTCCGACAGCGCGCGCATTGGCGCGCATGCGCCGTGCCCAGCTGGCGCTCTTATCAACGTGGTGAGGATTGTTGTCTTTTTGCTGTTTATAAACGTGAGATTCCGAATGCCGCTTTCAGTTGTGTCGTGGTCGTATTTCAGTGGGTACTTTAGTGCCTTCTGCTGTGGTTAATCAACGTGTCAAGTTTTTCATCATGTGTGGTGAGTTCAGTTGAATTATTTCAAACTTATTTGGATCAATGTCTGGGGCTGTTATCAAAATCCTAACCTCAAATAGTGCAGCTGTTATCAAGCTGTTATACGAAAACTTCTCCATTCAAACCTTGTTTTTAGGACTGATATCTCTTATCATACTTACGTTACACACATGCATATACTGAGGGATAACAAGGTCTACGCACTGAAGTAGATGCTTTTCACCAGAGAGTGCATGTGAATGCAAACCTGATCGTGTTTCGTCATCAGAGAATCGCGATCATTAAATGGTTTAGCGTTCTACTTAATCCTTCTTTTAATGATTATGACTTATTGAAACTTAAAATTTCAGGCAGAAATTTTGCTGGTGATACTACATGAATAAGTAATACAGCTTGGAATCGGCAGATTTCCACTTCAGTAACTCTTATTTGGGTATTCATTCATTGCCAGTTATGATGGCTTCTCTATGGATAAATGGAAACTTTGGCGTTTATTGATATCATAACTTATGCATCGTTCAATTTTTTAAAAATATCTGAGAATCGATTTTATTCTGACTTTGAATCTATAATAACAGGTATTTCGTTAACACTGCAATCCTCTCGCTGCCTGGGATTTTGATTTTCCAATGCAAAATTACCAACAATGGGACACCAAAATAAGTCTTAACAATGGGGATCAAGGAAACGTCACATGATTTCTCTTCTAAATCCCCACATATCTAGAAAATAATTCCCTTAATGGGAAATTTTAATATTAATTCCTGAAGGAAACAGTCACTGGTCTTTTTAACTCATATCCTATGGAAATCAGAATAAACTAGTGACATCATTCGTATCTTTGCCGTTTTAATCAATGAAAATTTGAAGTACTGACAACTTGTATAAGAGTTGATCTCAAGACTTTCTGCTGTGTGACTTGTTTTCCTAGTGAAAAATTTCGAAAAGAAAACATGCTGCAAGGTGCTTTTAACCTATACCTTGTCTAGAGGCCCGTTCCTCATTCATAAAATTTCGCGTCATTTCTCCTCAATCGTCTATGATTACTTTGTAAGGAATTTGTTCAAGAATATCATCTATCCAGTTTTTACTAAAGTAAGAGTGAAAATAATGAAGCAAAATAATGAGATATTTCAAAAGTTGTCTAAGTAGTTTCCTCATTTAAAAATTGAATACCCAGTAACAGTAAAAATTTATTAGTTTTTCATGTATTCAACTACATTACTTACCTATGAGAGGAAACAAAATTAAGCCACCCAGTCTGAAAAGACAAAGTTCTTTCTCCCCTCAAATGCGTTGGCAAAGTTTAAGTACAGCTTCTTGCTGAGAACCATATTTCCTCCGAATGTCAGATGAGAAAGCATGAAGTTGAGTGGTTGGGATTAATTATTCCCTCATAAAATTTTTTGCCTTAATTGAATGTTGGACACCATCAAGAAGCATTAAAGTGTTAAAGTATTAAAATGCTCATTTTGCAATGCTCATAAGCATTTAAACCTTGTGAATCTTTGAAATTCTGCTTAATATAAACCGATAGATTTTCAGTTTCTTTCTATAGACTTAAATTTCAAAGGGTTAATTTTTCACAATACTTACATCATCTCATTCTAAAGATACTCTACAATACCTACTTAACATGAAGAATGAGTTTTAATTTTCGGATTCTGTGATAAACCTTAAAATCAACGTGCTAAAAACTACTCGTGCATTTAAGAGTATTAATGCCGGATGTTCAAGGATCAGTCATTTCTTAATTGAAAAACGAAAATTACTCAGTGACCCTTTTTTCGAGAGTTCATAATCTTGAATTTCTTGAACGATTTTTAATTTCGCACGGTTAATGATACCTTCAGTTTTAGGGCAATTGTCAACTTTGTAGGAGTGCCTAGGAATTTCCAATTTATTTTTCCCATACTCTTCTTTAAACCACAAAACATAATTCGAACCATGTGCCAAAAACTGCAGGTAAATACATTGTTTCGCATTTGAATGAGATCTTTCTCTTATTTTTGATCATGTAACTTTAAATCTCGTGTTTTTTCCTTTTATAAACGTGCTCATAGAGTAAGCTAGAAGAAATATGGAAATAATTCGATATTTTCAAGTTATCCGTGGTCATATTTTACGCCATACAACTACATTTTTTACTGACTCGAGGAAATGACGTAGTTTTTCTTTTTTTCTTTCAAAGTTTTCCAACGCTTTTTTTTAAATATTAAGTATTTCAGTGTGTTCATTACGTCAACTTGTATGTTCATTTCGAAATCAGAGGAGCAAAAAAACATAAAAAAAAATTATCTCTACAGAAAAAGAAAAAAAAAACAGCTACCAGCATGTTATCCGCGATTTTTCCACCAGCAAACATTGCTCATCACTCGAAACATGAAAAAACAGAACCAATCCAAAAAATTTCTTGGAACTTTTGATGAAGAATAATACCCTATTTTCGTGATGTGCTTTACCTGTATAATAATTGAGGAGCTCATTCGAAAAACCGCGTAAAGTCTTCACTCAACCGCTGAGAGTGTCCATCTTTGTCGAAGTATTATATCGAATTGAAGGCACATGCATGTATAATCTTTCCCAGGATATTTTAGCCAAAATACGGGGAAAAATTGTGTTCTAAAAATTATGGCCATGGCTTGGAATTCGAAGAACTATGCTCAAGTGTACTCCGCAGTATTCTGCCGTGCTGAGGAAGAACGCCGTATGAACATTCGAGAGTTGCCAAATTTCCCCTGATGGGCAAGTATTTTTTACAACATTCATGCATATATTTTTCCTTGAAATTTTCAGATTTTTTAGATTGAATTGCGTACAAAATTGTCTGAAAATTTTTGGAAATAATATCCACAATTTTCCCAGTAAATTCTGTTCTTATCGGAGGAAACTTGACAGCGTCTGAGGGATACGGTTTTCTTCCTTAGCACGGCTGTATTGCTAAATGTATACCGTGGTAAAAATGGCAAGTGTTAGGTCAGTGAATTTTCCATTGAGGTCAGTGCAATTTGCTCTGAGGTCAGTTCAGTTTTCGTTCGTTTAAGTTCGTGAGAAACACGATGGTGCCACTGGTTTTCTCTGAAATCAACTCCCAAGCTCAAAAAAAGCTCTCAAGTTGAGGCCAAAATGGAGCAGGGGATATCCCACCCTACCCTGAGAGTTCACCTCTACATCAAGACAAACTCTCCATGCAAAGAATGAGAACAAATACATTATCAGGGCTGCCACTTTATTTTGGGACTCCAAAACTGAAAACACGGCAACCCTGCTAATGTATTTGCTCCCTATCTTACTTGGTTATTCAAAGGCGCCACGCAGTATTTACTGCATCTGAGGTCTAATATTCTCTCGGAGCCAATAATTCTAATATCGCTACCTCAATCCCCAATTTTTTCGAAAGGTAAGTGCCCTTTCCTGGTCGTGCATTCTGTCCAAGGTGATCGGCGCGGTGCCGGTGTCCTAAAACCTAGAATCGACGACCGTGCGCAGGCGTTGTCGCAGCCGCAGAATGTAGTTCACCTACAGTCCTAAAATCCGCCGATTAAAAAAAACGCAGGAGTATGATGGAGGGGGNNNNGGGCACAAAAGACCCACACGCCACGGGTGTAGCCAGGTGTAAAAATAGTCGTGTTTTGACGGTGTGCTGTTACGTAAAAACTGCGCCGCCGCGCCATGACGCGGTTATTATGAAGAAATAAAACTAACTGGAGCACAGCATAATACCTGTTGAGCTGAAGGGGTCCATCTGCACCTCATCGTGAGATCTGGGGCGTGAGGGGATATGTTATTAGCGAGGCTCATGCTTGACACGTTGATAGACTCATTTGGCTTGGTCCTGTCCACTGGAGGCTGGAGAAAGCGGCGCCCCCCGGCACCTGAAAACCAACTTGTTTTGTTCATCATCTCCAGGCAGCCCCAACGCCGCCGTGTTATGGCAGAAAGTCTTATCGCCCCTTGTACGGTGCCAAATTTCCTCTGATAAAACTCGAGTTTTCTGAGAAACTTGAAAATATTTTCGTTCAATATTTTTATGGAATTTACTCGCAATTTTATCCAATATACCTGAAAAATCAATGGAAAATTATTTAAAATTTTTCTGGATTATAAATATTTAACTTGAGAAATTTTGCAACGCTGAAATGAGCAAACGGCGTTTTTCCATAGTATACAGCCTGGACTTAACTCTTTGTTTCAATTTGTTTGGACCTGGTCCTCAGCAGTCTTCAGCAGGCACCAAAGTTTATGAACACTGATCCCCCTGAAGACCAGTAGGATTCAGAAAAATGGTGGCGACTTTGACGATTTTACGCGAAAACTTTAGGCCGACTTTCTCTGAATAATTGACCATTGATTCGTTTTTTAATGAACTAAGTCCTCTGATACTCCGATTCGATGATCCTGAAGCAATTTGTAACGTAAAACATATTTTCCGTAAGCTTTGGAGCCTGTCGAACCGGGCTCTGAATTAACCGTAGGTTGATTTACATTTCTGACTGGACTGATTTCTAACTCTTAATGGGAAAAAATTCAAATATGTTGAGGTACGCGCGCTCAAATTTTTCCTGAAGTAACTTGACAAAGACTTTCGTCGCAAAGACTTTGGCGATGAGGAATTACTATTTCTGGCTCATTCGATGAAGCATCTTTTTGCATAATTGAAACTAGTGGTACCCACGTGTGTCGTTTCCACAATGAGTAATGAATAATAGTTTCTTTAAAAAAGAAAAAGTACACTTGCTCCGATATTTCCAGCCCTCAAAAGGGGCGGAATGTTTCACTTGCCCCTCACTGGAAAAAAAAAAAACACATTGGATCTAGAGGCCAGAATCTTGAAAACATTGACAAGAAAAAGGACTCTTGATTCAATCAGATTTAAGCTTAAATCAAAAGGAAATCCGCTCAAATTAAGATGGTTCTTGATTTAAGCTTAAATCTGATTGAATCAAGAGTATTTTTTCTTGTCGATGTTTTCAAGAGTCCGGACTCTAGATCCAATGTGTTTTTTTTTTCCAGTGCTTCCTTCATCTGTATGGTATGTGTATGTATAACATTTTTCGAAGAACAAAGGGTCTATCTTTTAATGCAGTTAGAGAGCTTTTAGCTTGGGCTCTTATCAGCTCCTCTTCTTGGTAAACGCTGAGTCAGAGAAGACAAGAGGCCGGCGCGGCGCGGCGCTTCGTATGATAGCGGCGAACGCGAGTGACATACTGCCGACTTAAGACAAAAGGCCGTGTATCGATTGCCTAAGTGCAAAAACACATATCTCCTTTTGCGACGCTGCAAATTTCCTGTCTTTCTTTAATTTTTACTTACGAAATTTTCAGACTTCTTAGATCAAGTTACGAACACTTCCTTGAAAATTTTGGAGAAAAATTCTCTAAAATTCCCGTAAAATTTGTAACTCGTCAGAGGAAATTTGGCAACGTCTGAAGGCTCATATGGCGTCCTTTCTTAGCATGGCAGTGTTACTTTTGAGATAGAGACCTGAAATTTTGTGAGAGCTCCTAGACCAAAGGAAACGACTTTTGGACCCCCCCCCCCCCCCCCCCCCCCCAAAGTTTACATTAACTACCCTGAAAATACGCAAGAGCCCTCGGGGTTACAGAGGTGTTGCGGGACTATTGGATCAACTTGTATACGAGGAGAGGTGAAAAAGTTAAGCAACGGGTGAAAATGCGTCGACTTACTTTTTTAGTTTTCCCGATTTTTTATTTAAAAGGGCAGGGCAGGTGATCTATATGTTACGTAATCTGTAGACATAGTGGGAGGCGGATCATATTTACAGACGATCTGAAAAAGTTAGAAAAACAATTTTGCATAATTTATACCAAGATCTTGATTTCAGTGACATGTACCGCAGGCTGTGAAGCAAGTAAGAAATGCCGAGAAAAAATTTCGATTCCCAATGGTTTTTTCCTGTCAATATAAGGTTGGGCTCCTGCTTCTTAATGATTCCCATCTTCTAGTGCATATCATCTAAAGTTGGACGTATTTCTATCAAGCGGAACTATGTGCATCAAGGCATGAGCCCTGAGACCCATAAGAGTATATGCTTAGTACGGCTCACGTCATAATGCACACAGTTCCGTTTGACAGAAATGCGTCCAGTGCAGCCTAAAATTGAAATTTGACAGAGTAATCATTCCAAAGGAGCAATACTCAAGCAATAATCAATAATCGATCTTATTCTTTCCGACCAAATGATGGAGTGTTCTTTGGCGCCTGAACTTTCGAAGCGCCTCATCTTGCTTCAACCTGGATTTTCCGAAGACAGCACTCAAAAATGTTGCGATGAAATGCGAAACGCTATAAACGTCTGTGAGAAAATACTTTCGATGTTAGGCAAGGTGGTGTTGTTAATTGCGCTGTATTTACATCCCGGAAGCTAAAATCATTACTGCATCTGGATTTAATCGATGACGTGTGATCGGAGAGATGTGTTATTGACCGTCCTCATAATCGATGTTCATGAGGTCCACGGAGGAACAAGAGACAATGACCTTGGTGGAAGGCGTTAGCTTCTTTGGACCTGCTCCAACGCACTGTTGTCGAATCAATACTCGATCCAAGTGGAAAAGATGTGCTGGTATTTCCTCATTTCAACGGGATGTTTCTAACAGGGAACAGTTCCATTTTGCGAATGAGCCTTTGGCTGCCCAAAAAACTGGCGATATGGGGCTCATCTAGAAAATGGACTTGTTCCCTTTTGGAAACAACCCGTTTTCTGAGAGCGTTCACAGAGGAAGGGACTTTTGCCGAAGGAGGCAAAATTTCCATAAGAGTCTTTTTTGTCGAATCGGGCCGAACATTCGGTTTTAGAGCTCTCGAAAGTCTTCAGAAATGAATGTCAAGTGCGATTTAATTCAATTTTAGGTTCACGCAGGACGTAAGATTTCATTCGTGTCCAGCGACTGAAAAAAGGACTTTATAGGCCACAAACATTTAAAATCGAGTTATTGACCATGGGGCATAGAGAATAAGAAGCACGAAGCGTCTCTCGCGCTTTCGTTTCAATTGGATAAAGACCAAACGACTTCCGAGAAAAACATACCTTAAATACACAGGGGCGGTCTGGTCAGGGGTGCCAGAGTGCTTTAGCACTCCAGAAATTCTGACGGGTAGTTCAGAGGGCCCCGGCAGGTTTCTTGTAGGGGCCCCAAAATTAGAAAAACCCATGTATAGGAGGACTTTTTGTTAGATAGAAGGGGCCCGGGGCCCCACCCTAAAGGAAGGAGCCCCGAAAACTTATTAGCACCCCAGGGATTTTCGAACCAGACCGACTCTGTAAATACGAAGAATCTCGCAAGCTGTTGACGGTCTCTCTCGCTTGTGCTTTCTTTCTCTCCTCCGGGCTGAGGTGTAAAAATTGGCAGCATCGCCGCAGAATGTTTTGATGGTCGCGTCGCGTCGGAGGATTCTGTCGACGTCGAGTGACCTGGGGCGGGGGCTGATCAGCGACGGTGCTGACCAGTGACCCTCCCTCGGTGCCCGGCTCTTTCCCGCTTGGATTTTCTCTCGACCGATTCCTGATTGCCTTGAAGTCCTTGAACAACAGTTCAGCTTCGCCACCGAGCGTCAACACCAGAGAAAGTCCTCACCAAGTCCGTCTTTTCCCGATCCGCAGAAAACCCCACGTACGTTAACAAACTAGGGGATCCGCCCCCTGGCCACTACGCGGCCCAACCTCTGGGGCGCTGCGCGCCATAAAGATCCGCTTCGCAGCCAGCGAAATCTCGGACGAGAAAACCACAGTATTATTAAGACATAATAAAGGAACCTCAATCAACCCTTTTATGGACGGGACTCCACTTACGATAATTTCCCAATTACGGACTTTGAACTCTCCTCCCTCACCTCAGCCTAGCAAGCGTCTTGAAAATGGTTTTATCAGAACAGAGAGGATTTCGTATCAAAACAGCTAGGACTCTTGTAGTTGATATCTGTATGCTCTGGGAAGAGTTCCGTTGCAGTTCAGAAATTTCCCCAAAAAAATTCCGATTTTGCGGGGAAAAAAGAAGGTGAAGAAGTTCTGGATACCTTAAAAATGTTAATTTACTCGTAAAATATGCATTAAAATGCAAATACATAGTGTGAAAGCAAGTGTTTCAGGCAATTCTGTATGCACAGAGGGTATAAGATACAATATTAACTCGGTCAAACCATGGGTTTTGGTAGAGTACCTATATTGAGAGAGTATGACCACTGGGCTCCATGGAGAGGCTTAGGACCCAAAAATGGCGGTGCTTTGTTTTGGTTTTTGTGGATGGGAGGGGGGGGGGTCATTGCCAACTTTTGACGGTTTTCACCAACCGCACTTGCTGCCAACCTAACTACATCTAAGATAATTTTTCTCAAAAATTGCACACGACTAGCCTTAAAAATATGTAAAGAAGTCGCAATAGTGCATGTGGGTAAATTTCTCGTTACGATAAGCAAAGAAAACTACATTTTGAGTCATTTTGCATTACATCAATTTATGGCGACCACCATTTTTGGGTCCCAAGGGCTCCATTCAGCCTAAGATGGCTGAGCCAATCAGAGGTGGTAACACCAGTGGCCATACTCTCTCAATATAGGTACTCTAGGTTTTGGTAGCGCTTTCTGTATTAAGATGGACGCCGCGCCGTCTAAACGTCTTTTGGGACCATCTCAGATCCGGAAAATTCCGCAAGAACGTCTATCGCAGCAGAAAATCTCCTTGAAGGGCTCCCGGCGCTGCGGAGGGCGCTAACGAATTTTGCTATTCACGCAGATTCAAGAGGCATTCGAACGCGGCTCATGCCGCAAAGCGCGCAAGTGACTCGGGACTCCTACAACGTGTACGGCCTTTTTCAAGCTCTTTGCTCCTGGCGACAAGTCGGAAGATTTTGAGCTCGGAATCAATTTACCCGGAGCTAAACAAACGATTTGAAGTAATTTGGGTGAAAGCTATCGCGGTTTCTCTGGGATGTCGTGCCCGGTGGCTTTCGAGTAGCGCATGGGCATCTCTGCTGTGCCGAGGAAGAACGCCGTATGAGCCCTCAGACGTTGCCAAGTTTCCCTCGATAAAAACCGGATTTATTAGGAAAATCGTAAATATTTGTTTTTAAAATTTTCAGAAATTTTGCACGCAATTGAATCGAAAATATCTGAAAGTTTCAAGGAAAAATATGCGTGAATGTCGTCGTTGTTATCAAAAGGAATTTTGGCAACTCTCGAATGTACTTACGGCGTTCTTTCTTAGCGTGGCAGATCTAGCGTCTATTTACGTTGAGTCGCATCTATTTAAAGTGCGGCCGATGCGATACTCGTGGACCGGTTTTCCTCGCGGCTCTAATCACCGCTGCGTCTTCGAGAAGCCAAACCGTCATCCTCGCTCGTCAAAGGGATTTTCAGGGGACCAGACCCACGGACGTATTTCAATGAAAAGGAACTAACTTATTTGTGACATGGACCCTGTCATGGATGTATGCTCATTGGGCTCAGGTCCCAGCTCGCAATGGAAATAGTTCATTTTTATCGGACTGCGACACCGTGTTCAATGCTTTGCATCATCCGGCCAGATTATACCAACTGGATTTTGCGAGAAGGAATTGAGGTTATTGCGATGCTACTAAAATTGGACTTTTTTTAATAAAAGGAACTTGCGCCAAGCATGTTTGAAAATGATCTTTTTAATTCATTTCATTTTTACTTGGTTGCATTCAGCATAAAATACCACGCGTAATGGATCACTGGAGAAGGTGGGAAATAAAAAACAAAACCACTTGCTGTCTTTTTGAAAATCTTACATAGAAAACTATTCACACAGCATGCAGGCAGTTCGAAAGTCAACTCCTGAGCGAGGTATCATTAACTACTTTTAACACTTATAGAATGACAGTTAGATTTCACAAATTACAATGTTTGAGCTTTTGCCATCCGACCAATATTCATTTTTGCCCCCCCCCCCCTCCCATTTCAAGTATCCCCGAGGAGCGCTGACAGTCCCTAAAGTCCCGTCCCCCCTCAGTCCCTAATCAAGCTAGCCTCGGGTATCCAAGGGTTGTTTATGACCATCAAACTCGGGTCACCTGGCCGGAAATCGAACTCGGGACCTCCCGATCATAGAGAAAGCGCTACAATTATTACACCACAGGAGGCCGACAATTTTTAACACTCGTATCTCGTGTAGGTGTTGATTTCCATAATTCCCGTTGTGTCATTCGTTTTCCTCGTGAAATTGAAGAAGGAACATGTTGCGCTGCGCAACTTGCGTAGTGCTTTAACTCATACTATGTGCTATGAATGGAGGCCGCCTCATTGTGAAACCGCTTTTATCTTGAAAGATTAGCCTATACAAATTCGAACAGCCTCCAATGCTTCCATCCGTACATACAAAAAATCGTAAGGTATTTTAGTTTTTCTCCTGTTTGTGACCGTCTAAGAGAAAATGGGCCTCAGTCACAGAGTTTTCCCCGAAATTACTATGTCAATGGACTTGTTTTGTATAATGTTGCTACATACGTACATTCGAGTCGCTTTACAGCGCGCCCAGGCGCTCTGCGACACCTAATCGCCATCCTTGCCTATCGATCCAGAGGTCATCTGGTAAATGGCATCTTGTGTTGCTTCAAGTTGTAATTTCGTCCCGTGATTGGAATCAATCTACAGGATAGGTTGAGCCTCAGGTGGTTTTTCCAATTTTTCATCCCTATCACCGTCGTTGATGAGCCCTCCAATTTTGTGTCCGTCCCTATCACATGGATCACATTTTGCAATAAAAACCGCTTAACATCTGGCTCGTCAATAAAAGCATCTGTTCGTATAGCAGGGTGTCTACAAGTCCGGAATTTCCGGAAAATTCGGAAATAGTACTGATTTTTTAAGGGCGGTCCGGAGGTACTGAAAAAGTGCGGAAATTCCGCTAGAAAGTCCGGAATTTTTCACTTTTGTTGCAATTGGAGAGAGAACTTCAAATTTTTGAAATTTTCCGAATTTCGTCAAATGGAGGTACTGAAAAAGTACTGAACTTTTCCGTTGAGGAGGTACTGAATTTCTGGGGAATGTACTGAAAAAGCACTGAAAAAGTACTGCTTTTTGGCCAGCGTGTTTTTGTAGACACCCTGTATAGGGAAACTAATGGCACAATATGTCCTTTCTACACAGAGCCAACAATACTAGCACCTTATGGCACATTGTAGTCCATATGCGAGAAGTCCCAAACCATTCTACATACGTCTTTTTCCAAATTCCCGATGTAGGTCTACTTTTTTTCTTTTAAATGCGCCCATTTGGAGTTACTGCGACTTAATGGCAACGGAAATTGCGATCGAGACGGGTGGGACCGTTGAAAGAGCAATAACGCATCGGGTTCGCAGTTGCAAGCGAGGTGGGCACGGACCATGTGAGGAAGAAATTAGCATAAGGTGAATAAGCCGAAGCGAAGAAAACACGACAGCCCACGCCACGCGACCCCGCCCGTATTTCACGCAACCGGCAACAGGTTTATCATCCCAGATTCGGCTCCCATATGCTCGCGCCGATACCATCTCGCTAATATTACATGCACCACTACTCAGGGAAAACAATCGTTTTTATTAAATATGAAAACTTTAAAGATTTACGGTTGCAAAAAATTGCGCTCCGAATTGATTTTTGAAAAAATCACCCTATCAGCCGTGCTAAGCAAGAACGCCGTAAATCCATTAAGATTTTCCCGTGTTTTTCGGAACTGAACACTGTACAAAATATAACTGTTTTACCCATGCACCTCAAATTTTCAGGTTGCCGGCCAGGTTGGCCTAGTGGTCAGCGCGTCTGACTCTAGGTCAATAGGTCCCGGGTTCGAATCCCGGTGGTGGCGACAAATTTTCATGGAACTGACGAGTGGATCTGCAGAAACAGATTCCACTCGGCCTTAATCCCTGAAAATTTG